CGACACGTAGTATATATATGTGTGTGTGTGTGTGTGTGTGTGTGTGTGTGTGTGTGTGTGTGTGTGTGTGTGTGTGTGTGCGTTCGAGTATGAATTTCTCTTTATATGTATGTGTGTGTGTTTTTATTGAGTTTTTATTGACACTTAAAATGATTGATAATTTTAGATTTCCGCAGATCGTGGGTATGGGGACAAAGCACTCTGGGAGGCCATCGCAAACATGGGACTTGGAGCACTACTGATTATGCATAGTACGATGTGGAAAGGCTTTCCGGGGATTGGACGTAGCACGGTCACAAGTATACAGACTAGTCTATACTCGACGACTTCCCAGGTATGGGGGACATTGTTGTTAATGCTTCGCAAGCGTTTAAACTCCAGCAAATAGTGTATCTACAGAGGCCAATTTATCCGCATTCTCTGCACCTCAGGTGCCCAGTAAGCGAGAAACCACGACTCCGTGTGATGTTCTGCGGTTCGCGTGTGATATTTATCCGAACGTCAATGGATTTAAGAATGTATATGTTGCAGTGAAGAAGCCAAGACCCAAGGCAGATATTGTAGCTAATATTTTGTTTTTGCCAAAAGTGGTTGGGTCTGTGCGAAAAATAAAACTTCGTACTCCTACAAACACTTTTTCTTGAGGCAGCGATACTATTAACGTGAGCGCAAAGCACCTATGAATGTTTCAAACTTCGACAGCCGATGATAACGGGAACCCTGGGCCAATCGCTAGCTAAGCGATCTGCTGCAGTACGAGCATTCATTATGAAGGATGATGGTGCTCAAAATAACGATGGGCTATTAGACGACGGGAATGAAATGGTCAACGAAAATGATACTTAGATCAAATTGTATCGATTTGAGGATTTTCCAGGTATGTATTATATTTTAATCTTGTATCTTATATTTAGTTTAAATGTAGGTGTTCTGTATTAGAATTTAGTGCGATGATCATATATAACTTATACTACTTTAGATGACAACGGCCGATCCCTGAATGAAGATAATTTCATCCATACGCTTGATGAATCCGACAGTGACGAGGAAACTGTTGAGCCGTTGGAGAATTCCGACGGTGAATCGGACGAGTATCATGAAAATCCTTTTGCAGTGTGATAAGTTTCAGTATATTTTTTAGGGCACTGCAATTTTTTACGATTTATTGACTAGTGATACACTCTACTTACTACATATAGGATGACGTGGCTGACGAGAAAGAGCTGGGTGACGTGTCCTTTAAAGTATATGATTCCTCCTACGGAAGACACTTTTCCACTAACGCCATGAAAGAAGTGACCAAAAATGAACCACTTGTGATGGCTTTATTATCGAAAGACAAACTTGTCGTATATTTATTTGATATTGGCCTGGTCGCAAATAGGAGCTGTTCTGCCCATGGCTTGGCGTTTCATCAGGTATGATATCCAATATATTATCCGACTGTATTATTTTTAAGTGTGAAACAAACATTTGTTGATCATGAGTGTGTGTGTATTGCACTTTCACTGCTTATACACATTTTGATATTTATACCACAGATGGTGTAGTCGTGTTCTATCCCAATTGTACTCGGTCCTATGCTCTATTAGAAACTATGATATGTTTCACTGGGGCGAATCCGAGAGACTCATAAAATCCTACCTTTAGAAAAAATAGATAAAAGAAGAAAAATATTCTTGGCGTCCTTAGTTATTGTCTTAATCAATAACTTCCACTATCAAGAATTACCGACTTAGCCTTCATCAGACTGGCACATCTGGTTGGCTGATCGGAGGATAAACTAGGTAACGTTAATAGTCCCTAGAAACCTATATTCGGTTGAGCCATCTCGCTACCGAAGTATTCAGATATAAATAAATTTGGAAAGTAAATAGAGCTCTATTAATAGAACTAGACCAACTGAGGCCTTGTAAATTGGAAAAGGTATTAATTAATAAAACCATTAAAAACCATTTTAGGAAACTTAAGTTCCTCGTGCTATTAAGAGCACATTTAGGAAACTTAAGTTCCTCGTACTATTAAGAGTACATTTTTAGGAAACTTAAGTTCCTCTTTTAATAAAAAAAAAGTGTGAGAAAAAACTTATTGTACCGAAATATTTATAATAAAGACACTTCGTGAAGAATAGAGAATTCTACTTACAGATTCTGTCGATTTCAAAGCAAAATTTGTACCAGTTCTAGTCTGGAACCCTGGGCCGCTATATTGAATAAAAAAATATTTTAGGTACAGTACATACAAATGTATGTACTAGACAGAATCTGACGATTCTTTTTTGTTTTGTAAATATTTATTAGTTGTATTTAGTATGTACTGATGTACTCTTTGGTGGTGATATATGAAGCTATTTACGTAACAAAATTTTGTTCCAAAAGTGTTCTATGACTCGAGGCCAACTCTGAAGTCTGTACCAAGCCAAGGCCCAAGGGTGTCATTTTAAAAAATACATATTTATGTACCTCTGTATTTACAGTAAAAATGTCCAGTTTTTGTCCAAAACGGATTGTGGGCACTTAAAAAAAAGGGGTTCTATATGTGTTTTTGCATATTTAGCTAGGTTTTGTTTTGAAAAATTAAAATTTATATACAGTTGTTGGACCTGACCATCTCTCTACTGTTTACTACTACTGTTTGTAAATACATATTTAGGACGAGTCCGTAGGACTGTTGGAATTCTATTTTGTGTCAGACACTCAGACTCGCTCACTCAAGAAGAAGGTGTCCGTGTGGGTGTGTTTATGGTTGGATGTTGTATTTCGTTTTTGAAAAAAAAACTGTTTATGTTTAAAATCCATGTGTTGCAAATTAATGAAGCTTCAGTTTGGCGCCTGGGATATTGAAAATTTAAAATACGACAAGGTTAGCTGACGTATATGTCATATCTCACAAAACTCACGCGTTTTTGTTGTTGTATCGAGAAAATAAAAATAAATTGGGAAGTGCACACCCGCACAGTGCAAACAGCAAACAGCAAAGGCTATATGGTAAATATACGTAAATGGCACCAGGAACGGATAAATAATGATTGTGTACACAAGCAAGACTTATCTGTAGATGGAATGCTCTCATTACGATCTGTATTATATCAAGATAAACGCGCCTCGTAAGTAGAATGATGAGAAGTGAATAACCATTACAGGCGCCCCGTCACCAGGTTGCCGGAAATTTGGACAAATCAATCTTATAATATTCGAGATCAACTATAAACTACAAGCATGGACGATACTTCACAGAGTAAGTGCTCGTGTTGTCTCATGACCACTATCAGTTCAGGTTTAGACAACTACTGTACTTGCAATGCATGAAAATTGATATACACACACACACACACACACACACACACACACACACACACACACACACACACTACACACACACACACACACACACACACACACACACTACGACACACACACACACACACACACAGACACACACACACACACACACACACACACACACACAC